CTTTGCCCAGCCTTCTACGACCAGCGTAGAAAGTGAGTTTGCTTCCAAAGCTCCGTTTGGCAAAGACGAATCGCCGTGTTTGGCCATGCTTGGGTACTATCACCCATAGGATCCATGTATGGTGTATATATATATATATATGCTAACATTGGGGGTATATTGATAGTAAATGTTACCATATATAGCATACATGGATCCTATGGGTCATAGTATCATTGACTACCAGTATCATACAACCATCCCAAGACCCGACACAATTTGTTTGTTTACAAAGCCCTCATTCGTTGCTGAACACTGCTGAAATATCTTATTCCCGTAGGTTCGTCGAAACATTGGGACCCCGGAAAACTCCAATGGCCACTGGTAAAATTCCCCACTGAAATTGAAACGTTTGGCCTAGTTACCGGTCGCTGATCATTATTTACTATTCTTGTGTCAAGCCAAGCTATTGCGTGGGGAAGAAACACATCTTCTTGGCTCCGAGCAGCTCCTAAAGTTGGATAATAACCATGGCTTATAATCACCCGTGGGTACATATTATAAATAAATATATATATATGCTTATGCATATATACAATAATTTTATAGATATATTATGTATACATAGCTCCACAGCTATGATCATATAACATCATATAACCACTTAGTTCACCGATTGTTCACTCCCAGTAAATGTCTAACATTGACCGCTGGCACCTGCTCGGCCGCTTGGAGTGCCAGATGCCCAGTGACGTCGCTGAGAGCCAGCAGGGATGTCATCCTGCCGCAGGGAGGTTCCAGAAATTCCATGGGAAAATGGCCATGGAATGCCATGGAAGACATGGCTATGCTATAGTGAGTGAGAAATTGAGAAATGATGTCCGAAACATAAGGATCATAAGGTGGGATGTGGAACGTGTGGAACATCTTTGCAAACAAGGTGAAGTGTCCGGAGGCTAATCAAAAGACCGAGATTCAACCAACAACAGGTGGGTTACCATGAAACATGGGACATTAATCCAATTGAGCAGATTCAATGGGAATTCAACCAACAAAATCAAGAATTAAAACAATATCATTTAAGCAGCCAAGAGTGGGAAGTTGACAGGGATATCCAACCAAAATATCATCCAAAATAGGCAACCTGCAAACATTGGGCCTTAATCATCAAGATCTTAGCCTCGACCAACAAAAATAGGGCTTTGACCACGAACCGAGTCACTACAGTGGCCAACTGAATTCAATCCGTTGTGCGCACACAGCACACTATAAGATTGAATTTAGAGGATTCAGGGATATTCAGGGATATTCAGGGTATCAACTCAAATTAAAATATTATATATATATATATATATTTAATACGCAAGAACCAATAGACACGCGGCTTGGTCGGCCAGGGAGGCCGGGTTCCCATTGGTTCTTGCTGATCTCCCCTTGTGTAGTTTGCCAAAAAAAAGTGAAACATCTCCAGCAGAATCGTACGTTGTTTGAGACACATACATCTACATCACGTATGCGTAAATAAATATATACATATATAATATATATATATATAATATATATATAATATATATATAATATATATATAATATATATAATGTGTGCATATAAATATAAATATAAATATAAATATATATATATATATGTATATATATATATATATGCGTATATATATGTATATATCAATCCAGTTTGTTTTTCGGTGGAAGAAAGTCCCAATAAATCCACCATATCCCATGCTCTCCGCCTGGCACAGGTCTCCAGATCTTGCAGCTCCTAGTGGTCTAGTGCCGATGCCGGGGTAATGTTAGGACGGGCCTTCCAAACATTCGTGGTTTAATGATGTTTAATGCTTATTAAATCATGGTTAGCATACGTTAGGAAAATCTAGAAAATCCAACATAATGTACTTCATGTTAGGACATATATCTGGATTTAGAATGCATGAAGCATGAACATAACTCAAGCGTGGACGTGGACAGACTAAATATATTGGAATGACAATCAGATTGGAGTTTGTTTAAAACGATTGCATGATGAGTGTTGTTTTGGGAGTCTGATTAGTACAGGAAAAATATACATTATGATTAGTCAACTGGCTATGACTCATAACTTAGAACATCTTAGAACTATGCTACCTTGATGATAGTCAACAATAATCAACTATAGACTATAGTCAATAGTTCAGTCCAGAGTTCGGTCAATACATATTGATTCTGGTAAACCAGGATGATACTCGCCTTCGAAAACCTTTTGGAAGATGACTTCACTTCTAAAGAGTTTGCAATTCGGAACCCCTTGATCGACAGTGACCTTGATGCAAAGACATCTCACATCTGTAAGAACTGTCACAGCTAAACATGGTTATCAAATTAAGGAACCAGCTACTCATGCTACTCAGTGGAAAGAATCTCCAAGTTTTTCGAGTTGTCCTTGCAATTCTTGCACATCTGAAAGCACTATCCATATAGGAGACAATGGCAAGACTAGCGTTCGCCTGTGGGGCCTAAGTCCCATTCCAGTGCAAGGGAGCACACACATTTGACACACTAGATAATCACATACAGAAGTGTCTATTTATACACGCATGCACAGAACAAAATCGTACGTGTGCACACTTCAATTTACGCATAGTATGTAGGAAGTTGTATATATATATAAATGCATATGCGTGTGAAAAAAACATGAATTTGTTCTATATGTAAATATAGGGCGACAAATGTATGTTATTTTGTAATGATAAATTGACATGGCAAAGCTGATGTACAGATATTACTTCTTCCAACCGGCAATGAATGAGACCATATTCATTCCATATTAAATGATTCTTTGAAGCAGATTAAGATGAATTGATACAACTTGTTTTTCGCACATCACTTTTCATTTCCACAGCACCTGCTCGTTAAAGGCAGAGCTTGGCATCGCCTGACGATCTCTCCCGGACCAGCTGGTCATGGCGAACAATACCCACTGTGCCTGACCAAACCTCTGTAAAAAGACTCTAAATTTTAGATCAATATCAGTTGAATCAGAAACCCAAAGACATAAACTACCATAAGCTATCGTAAACTATAAAATGAACATTCATAAACTATCCATGACTATCCCGAACTTAGGGTGTATCAAATTTGTCATCGCCATGTGCTTGTCTGCTCGGCCTGCGGCTCATCGCTCTAGGTCACTTTATGGGAGAATGATGAAAAAAAACACAATAATTTAAGGCAGTATCAGTAATAGTATGCAATAGTGTGTAAGTAATCAATTCAGAATATGGATGAAAAATGATGAAAACATGGCTCTTGACTAAACATACAATATATTACAATATAATATTGTAGGCCGTTGCAAACCACGAAATGCCTGGTATCTCCTGGCCTGCTTCCTCTTCTCGCCCTCCGGTAACTCGACAAACAAGGACAGCTGATGCCGGTATTTTTGCTTTATAATGCTTTATACGGTTGAACCATCTTCAAATTCTACTGCGCATCTGTTGAAATGTCTTGACTTGTGAATCTTAAAATATCTTAAATCAAACTGAGAAACTACGCCCACATCTCCACTATATCACCTCACCACAAATATTCACCCAAAAAAAACCTGAGGTGTCCAACGTTGAATTTCAGGCAAGTGGTGGCTGGGTACACTGAACATATGACATATGACTATGACCCAACTTAGAGAAACTCGCTGATAATTACGC